GGGGGGGGTTAGGAGGGTGGGGGCTTGGGGGTCTAGGCATAATGGTAGAAGATATGATGACTTACAGCACTAACTGATACTTACAGCATTAATATGATGACTTACAGCACTACCATGATGACTTACAGCATTAATATGATGACTTACAGCACTAACATGATGACTTACAGCATTATATGATGACTTCCAGCACTAATATGATGACTTACAAACAAGCCTACATGATGACTTTTTACATGAGACAGCACTATATAATATACAGCGCTACATGATGACTTACAGCACTAATAATATGACTTACAGCATTAATATTGATGACTTACAACAGCACTAACATGATGACTTACAGCACTAAACATGATGACTTACAGCATTAATATGATGACTTACACAGCATTAACATGATGACTTACAGCACTAACATGATGACTTACAGCACTAACATGATGACTTACAGCACTAACATGGTGACTTACAGCACTAACATGACGACTTACAGCACTAACATGATGACTTACAGCACTAACATGACGACTCTTACAGCACTAATATGATGACTTACAGCACTAACATGATGACTTACAGCACTAACATGGTGACTTACAGCACTAACATGATGACTTACAGCACTAACATGGTGACTTATAGCACTAACATGATGACTTACAGCACTAACATGATGACTTACAGCACTAACATGATGACTTACAACACTAACATGATGACTTACAGCACTAATATGATGACTTATAGCACTAACATGACGACTTACAGCACTAATATGATGACTTACAGCACTAACATGATGACTTACAGCACTAACATGGTGACTTACAGCACTAACATGATGACTTACAGCACTAACATGATGACTTACAGCACTAATATGATGACTTACAGCACTAACATGATGACTTACAGCACTAATATGATGACTTACAGCACTAACATGATGACTTACAGCACTAACATGGTGACTTATAGCACTAACATGATGACTTACAGCACTAACATGACGACTTACATCACTAACATGATGACTTACAGCACTAACATGATGACTTCCAGCACTAATATGACTTACAGCACTAACATGATGACTTACAGCACTAACATGATGACTTACAGCACTAACATGATGACTTACAGCACTAACATGACGACTTACAGCACTAACATGACGACTTACAGCACTAACATGGTGACTTACAGCACTAACATGATGACTTACAGCACTAGCAGGATGACTTACAGCACTAATATGATGACTTACAGCACTGACATGATGACTTACAGCACTAACATGACGACTTACAGCACTAATATGATGACTTACAGCACTAACATGATGACTTACAGCACTAACATGATGACTTACAGCACTAACATGATGACTTACAGCACTAACATGTGACTTTAGCACAATATGATGACTTACAGCACTAATATGATGACTTACAGCACTAACATGATGACTTACAGCACTAGCATGATGACTTACAGCACTAATATAATGACTTACAGCATTAATATGATGACTTACAGCACTAACATGATGACTTACAGCATTAATATGATGACTTACAGCACTAATATGGTGACTTACAGCACTAACATGATGACTTACAGCACTAACATGATGACTTACAGCACTAACATGATGACTTACAGCACTAACATGATGACTTACAGCACTAACATGACGACTTACAGCACTAACATGATGACTTACAGCACTAATATGATGACTTACAGCACTAACATGATGACTTACAGCACTAACATGATGACTTACAGCACTAACATGATGACTTACAGCACTAACATGATGACTTACAGCACTAGCATGATGACTTACAGCATTAAAGTAATGACTTACAGTACTAACGTGAGTCCATCAGTGGTAAAGTTCCCCTTGTAATTTAATGCAGAAAATGTTCTTTCAATAAACAGATTCAAAAACAAATTAGTAAACAAACCTCATATGACAGCTCAAGTACACAGTCAGCACAAGCTTGACCTGTGTCTAATGTGGAACTTTGTCCACTCTGTAGTGTATATAACTCAAGCTTCACTTTAATATAAAACTTGGGCTGACACTGTTATATATACTGATGGACCCAATTGTATATCATTTAGGATCATGATGTAAAATTCATTGAGAGAGAAAGAGAGAGGCGAGAGAGAGAGAGAGAGAGAGAGAGAGAGAGAGAGAGAGAGAGAGAGAGAGAGAGAGAGAGAGAGAGAGAGAGAGAGAGAGAGAGAGAGAGAGAGAGAGAGAGAGAGAGAGAGAGACAGAGACAGAGACAGAGAGAGACAGACAACGTGTGATAGAGATGAGCAGACATAGGTAAAATATAGACATATAAAATTACTCACAAACCAATCAAAAGCAAACTCAATAAAATAAAATTCTGCATAACATTCTCTTTTATTGCCATTATTATTTTCTTTAATTATCCACACCTCTTCCACACCCTCTTTACTCCCTCCTGCCCCTTCTCAGACCAACGGGCAAACACATCAATGTCACTTTTGCTTTGATCTGATCGTGTTTTTCTTTTATGTCATTTTTCTCTCTACTTGTTTCTTTCCTCATCCACTCCAGCGTTCTCAGCGGCGCTCTCTTCATAAGCTTCGTATGTTGTTGCACGTCACGTTCTTCTACGGACAAGCACTTGAGTATACACTCAAGACTAAGTCCTTCAGCAGGTGCAAAGTTCACTGCATAATTATAGCTCTTCAATGGCCTCTCCTTCACCGACATTGTCCTCTGCTTCTCATTTTTTTCTTCCTCTTTTCCTGCCTCCTATTTCTCCCTCGCCACCTCATTCATCTCTCCTTCTCCATCATCTCTACTTCCTCCTCCTCCTCCCTATTCCCTCTTCCATCTCCATTTCCTTCCCTTCTCCCCCACTACTATCACCTACACATCACATCCTTCCCATCTCTTCATTGAATTCATAAAATATAATAATTTGATTCATAATTTTTAAAGAAATAAATACATGATTATTAATTACATGATTATTTTTTATTTATTTTTTCTGTCCT